CCGGTGTGATGGGTGACCCTGTTTTTGACACCTACTACGCCTCGACCGTGGAGTTCTACGGATCGGGCCCAGGTCAGCAGTACACTGTGCAGGAGGCCGGTGCGGCGCTTCTGGACATCATTGATCGCAAGGTGGTCCTGCTCTCTCATTCTCAGGGAGGTCTCATGCCATGGATCATCACCGATGTGCGCCCGGATCTCGTCCACTCTATCGTGTCCCTGGAGCCCACTGGCCCTCCCTTCCAGGAGGCTGTCTTCACCAACAAGTCCTCCCGGCCATACGGCCTCACAGACATTCCTCTTACCTTTGAGCCCGCCGTTACAGACCCTGCGACCGACCTTGTCCGCCAGATTATCTCCACCAACACGACAGCGCGGTCTCCTTGTGTTATCCAGGCCGATCATCCTGCCCCTCGCAAGCTGGTCAACCTGTCGAAAGTCCCTGTTATGATCTTGACCACCGAGTCTTCCTACCATGCTCCCTATGACTGGTGCACCGTTAAGTTCTTGCAGCAAGCTGGTGTGCCCACTGAGCATCTGCAGTTGGGAGAGATTGGCATCCATGGCAACGGTCACATGGTCTTCCTGGAGAAGAATAGTGACCAGGTTGCGGGTGTCATCCAGAAGTGGATTGAAAGTCAGTAATCTTAATACAAAGCTATTAGAAGAGATATAGAGGGGGTCTCCTGAGGTAATGACTGTTGTGGAGACATGTCGGCAGGACGACGGTCCAACCCATGTATGATAGCTCTAATCATCTATTAATACAAGCAATTATGTACAGACTTATGCTTTTCTCCAGTATATAACCCTATATTAGACACACGTATAGCTACACGCGTGATTTACATTGATAAAACGCTCAAACTCCTACTGTCACCCGTGGCCATTGCAAAGCCTGCTCCCACACGGAATCACCACTCTCCAATTCAATCAACAATTCATTCACCAGATCCTTCCCGCAACCACGAGCCCACCAGAAACGATTCCCCAGCTCATTTAACAAAACACCCCAATACATCAGAATCAACAATGGGAACGGCTGGCGCATCCGCAGCCCCTCAATAAACTCCTTCTTAACATAGACCAACCAGGCAAGTATAGCCACCGGATGAGGCAACCGGGTAAATTTCGCAAAACACGACCTCAACAGTTGAATAGCCTCGCGATTAGCGCTCAGTTGCTCGCCATCCGCCTTGGTAATGTAGTTATTTAACCGGCTCAATTTCTCAATGGCAAGCGCCATCTCGGGGTCAAGCTCTCCATTGCCCATCTGCCAGAAATCGTACTTTGAAAACATTCCGGCTTTAAGCCATGGTCGACTGATCCGTGAGATCTTGGTCGAGCCCTGCAGTAGCTCGAACACGGTGATCATGTTTTCGATCATGCTGAAGCACTCGCCCCTGTGCTGTGCGCTAAGACGTGGTAGCGCGATGCCAATGACGGTTATGATGGCCGAGTGCGCGAAGACGGCATCGCAGTTCAGCGGAGTGAGGAAGTCGAGTGCGTGTCGAAACGGGGGAAAGGCCATATTATTATATCGGAGCGCGGTATTAAGATATGAGAGTGCGCGAGCAGGATCTGAAGTAGCTGCTATGTGCAATGCCGCGAGTGCTAGGATACCATGGAGTAAAAAAGGATGGCTGTAGGATTGCTGGGGAATGAAAATCTTCCAATCGTCCATGTCTGACTGGTCTCCACACATACTCCGGTACGTCTCGGTAGAGAATTTGTGCATGAGTTCAAGGTCACGAAGGCTAAAGCTTGAGCCTGGCCCTGCAGCTTCAACAGAGCTGATGGGCTGCTCAGCGTAGTTCTCTAACTGTGCTCTTCCAGGGGCAGGTGGGTCTGGAGAGTGATCAGTCACTGCATGAGCCGTGCGTCTCGGGAAGGATCCTTGGGGGATCCTCAGGTACGTGCAATGGAGCTCCCGAGCGGTACAGTTGGAGCAAATCGGATGTTTCTCGTCACACTGAGCACACAGATCAGCATAAGTTCCATTTAATTGGACCCACTGGTTTGACATGAAACACAGAGCTGATTTAAAGACATACCAGTGTCCTTTGCCTGAATTATGATGCGTACCTTGACTCTCCGTTCCTTACACTGATCACATCCATTCCGTGACTTTTTATGGGACCGTCGGGGTACCATGACTCTTGTGAAGACTAGAAATCACCCATTCGTTCCTATGGGCAAGTCACTCGACTGCAGCCGCCAGGATAGAGCCCCCAAAGCAGTTAGTAGAGTCCCCAGCTAGCGATCCTTGCTATAGGAATCCAGAAGCTGATATGGGTCGAGTTGTTGTAGGATTATACATGAGATATTGGGGGCGACACGATGGCGATAACGATGTAACGGAGACGGAAACGGAAACGAAAACGAAAACGAGAACGAGAACGAGAACGAGAACGAGCCTTATTTATTAATATCCATCGTTCATCCTTTTCGATCATCTCCATTGATATTTCGAACCCTTTATAAAGACTACTTAGGTAAAATTTGCCAAAGTCTGCCTGTTATCTACACTCGACACGGTTATTATCATACCCTCGGGGTTGATACGTTCACAGTGTAGGTACAGCATCGGCAAAAAGCTTCCGTGTGGATCTGTCCCTGAGAGCTTTATTGCTCGTCGCATAAGCATGAAATTCCAATGCTAGGAATGAGAATAATAATAGTACGTGTACTTTTCTATAGTAATTCTCAGTCCGCATTGTGTTACTATATCAAAGACCAGGCAGAAGTTCATAACCATTTTCTCATCTTTCAAAGAATAGATATTCAAAACCAAAGCTAGAAGAATCGAGTAAAATGGCCACGAGCGGACCTCAGGCTGCCACAAGCACTTCTAGTCGCAGTCTTCTTCAAACTTCGATAATCATGTCTTGCCTTTGTGCTGGGACCTTTGTGGCCGCATTAGATGCCACTATTGTTACCACCTCTCTGCCCTCTATCGCCAGCCATTTCCAGTCCGCTTCAGGGTATACCTGGATTGGGAGTGCGTATATATTGGCCAACACAGCCTCCGTTCCCTCGTGGGGGAAACTGTCCGACATCTGGGGAAGGAAACCCCTGCTACTGTGTGGGAATGCAATTTTCTTTATAGGCAGTCTGATCTGCTCCGTGGGCGATACAATGGCATTGTTTCTGTTTGGTCGTGTCATACAAGGCCTTGGGGCTGCAGGGCTGATGACCTTAGTCAACATCTGTGTTTGTGACTTATTCTCACTCAGAGATCGGGGGCTCTACTTTGGTCTTCTATCTGTGGTTTGGGCGTTGGCTAGCGGAATTGGTCCTGTGCTGGGTGGCGTGCTCTCGGAAAGAGCGACGTAAGTACTACAAGAAGAATTAGCTTCAGCTCTTCAAACGCTGATTTAGGGGTGTATAATAGGTGGCGGTGGTGCTTTTGGATTAACTGTACGTCATCTGCTTCTCGATCATGTTCTACAAATGACTCAACGACGGCTGCTAATTCTTACTCTTCCTAGTGCCAATCACTGGTCTTGCTTTCCTTATGCTATGGTTTGTCCTGAAGCTAGAAACCCCACGTACATCGATATGGGATGGTTTGAAGGCCGTCGATTGGGTTGGCTCATTGTTCGTGATCGGCAGCAGCATCATGATGCTACTCGCGCTCGACTTTGGCGGCGTCACACATCCCTGGAACTCAGCAACAGTCATCTGCCTGATCATCTTCAGCATTGTCGTCCTGGGTTTGTTCGTACTGAACGAGTGGAAACTCGCCAAATACCCAGTTATACCACTGGATCTCTTCCACCATCGATCAGGTATCGCCGCCTTCCTGGTGTGCTTCTGTCATGGTTTCATTTTTATGGGCGAGGCATATTACCTACCTTTATATTTCCAAGCAGTCCTCGGCGCTAGCCCGATCATGTCTGGTGTCTATCTCCTGGGATTTGTTATTGCTTGTTCATTGTCAGGAGCCTTCACCGGGTTATTCATCCAGAGGACTGGAAAGTATGTGCCTCCGATGTGGCTTGGACTCGGGTTGTTGACCCTCGGAGTCGGGCTTCTCATCAACCTAGAGGTCTCAGCCAATTGGGGCAAAATTCTTAGTTTTCAGATCATCTCCGGTATAGGAGTGGGTATGAACTTCGAAGGGCCACTCCTTGCGCTACAGGCCATAGTTGGCGTGAAAAACACCGCAACGGCCACCGCTACAATCGGATTCGTGAGAACCATGTCGACAGCAATATCGGTAGTTATCGGAGGTGTCGTCTTCCAGAACCAAATGGTCAAGGAAGGCCCCAAGTTAGTGCAATATTTGGGCGCGGAGCTCGCTAGTCAGCTGGGAGGTGCAAATGTCACAAGTAACATAGAGTTAATCAAGACGCTTCCCCCGGCTCAGAGAAAATTAGTCCGGCAGGCGCTGTTCAATTCGTTGCGGACCACGTGGATTATGGTTTGTATTCCCAGCCCAGATCGATGTTATTTACTGACCACGTTAAAGTATGTCGCCTTTGCTGGTGTGAGTCTCGTTGCTGGGCTTTTCGTGGGCACTCATCATCTGTCGGAAGAACATGAGACGGCTGTTTTAGGATTACACAACCACGATGGGACCATCTCAGCAGATGATTCATCCAATAGTTCTCCAGTTCCGCAAAGCACGGAACTTAGAGAACGCTGGGATCGTTGATCGTATCAGCAAGACCGATTGAGACTATGTATCACTACTATCATCTGGCCAGAGCCGAGAATTCATCTTCACCGTTGCTGCCTTGAGGAGCGTAAACGCTTGTTGCTAAACAATATCATCTGCATATTGATAGAAGATTTCTTGGCCATCTCCTTTGTGAGCATATTGATTAGCTTGTCAGGCCACTCTGGATAAAGAAACTCGCGACTGAGGAGGCTTAAGCTCTTAGAATGAGAATGTGAGAGGTGAGCGCTTGATAGATAACACCTCTAGAAAAACACGAAACGACCAACTTAAAGAAAACCTAAGCCATTATAGGATTTGCCACTGCTTAAGGATAAGCTCCTTTGGCCTAGTGGTTATGGCGTGGCTCTTATGTGGTTTTTCTGGAAACAGACTCCGCATGACCGGACTAGCTGAAGTCGAGGGTTCGACTCCCTCAAGGAGCAGACCCTGTCTTTTTTGCTTCCTTGGAATTGCATGCTGCCCCACAACTATATATTTGTCCCTACCGGGGTGCATAACTCCTTGCTCGACGCATTTAATGGCTGGTTGCACTTTGTTAAACGTCAGTTCCCGTCATAGAGGAGATGCCTAGCTCTTACAAGATGCATCATTATCGTAGATGACATCGAGACATTTCATCACTCGGAAGAGGAAAATGCTGTTCATACAATATACGGTGGCCACCCAGGGCATGAAGGCCGCGGATCACCTCCTTGACGAGCTTAAAAACCTGCAACTAGGCCAGAGCCTTGATCTCAGCTAGAAGTACCAACTCAGCTGCTTTTCTTAACATGGTAGGCAACAAAACGGACGGCATGCGCTAGGTGCTCCTTCGATTCATGGAAGGAGAGAACCAACACTATAAGAACGTCTCTTTCGACGGAGGACCACTGCTATTTGGTCGCTTTCTTCAAAGTCGCAACGACTACATGAATCTGCGCGCCCCATACTACACTTAGACCCTTAGTGCCACTACGTTCGCGTACACTTTAAATTCTCTTGTTACCATCGTCGATACTGCATCAGTAAGATTTTTAAACCAAAGATAATAAATAATATACCATCTAACTTTCTTCTTATTGGGTACCTCCATCAATCATCTCTCAAAACTCAACGTCCTAAGCAGCTCACCCATAAACGCTTGGTTTTGGTTATGATGCGCTATGCAATTACTTTCTTTTTCCGGAGTCAAGAAATTGGACAATGATTTAGCTCATACTGTAGCCATATATTTGTCCTTTCAATATTTGTAGAGATTCCTGCCCCTTATTAATTGGGGGCAAATTTGTGGTTTCGAAGGAGCTCGTAGCCAAGTACCTAGCCCTGATTTGGGCCCTTTCCATCTTCATTGTGTTTTCCCTACTCTTTCCCTCATCCACTGGACCAAAGGACAAAAAGTTTTCGGTGTTACAAGTGGGTAGATGTCACTTGTCCCCTATTATTATAAAGCAAATAAGAGCGCGCTTCCATAATGGTTCTCCCGGTCCCTCTCAAACCTATCTCATGACAGAGTCAATCGACTCTCCTGACAGCCAGACGAATGTTATAACTCAAATTCAGCATCAAACCGGATCGTGCGGTCCAACAGCCATGATATCCCTCAATATGAGAGGCCCATCCATCTCTTTAGGGGCTCTTCTTAAGGGATTTAGATAACGAAGCTCAAAACAATGGCTAATATTCGTCGAATAACGTATAGTCAGCCAACGACGACCTTATAACCCAGGGGTAGTTCCAACGATACATATCCTCGTTCATTGCACGTACTGGGACGCCCAAAATCCAGAAGCAATGCGAGGCTATAGGTGGTGGTTCGCCAATTCGCAAGTGGTCTGAGTACCAAACAATAGAGATGTGCAATATTCATGATCATGCAACCCCTGCTGCAACACCTCATAAGCCGTATGTAGCATTTCGATATGCAGAGCCTCTGGCTGAGGAAGTATATGCTAAACTGCTTGAGGACGGATTTGGAAACAAGGAAGAGTGGTTGCATTCCCATAATACCCACAGTATTCTTGCTCTACAACCGGTAGCTCCGTAAGTGAGCTTTGGAGACTGCGGCAGAATTTAGAGGGCAACCTCGGAAAGGGTCAGGGTATCCAATGGAGTATCATTGCTCGATGGCCAGCACATCCTGGATTTGCCGAGACTTTTGCTAGCAATATCAAAGAGAAGTTGCAGTCATATATTGAAGAAAGACGGAAAGATGTGACGCTTATCTTTTCTGCTCATAGTCAGCCAATGAGCTCTGTTAATAAGGGCATGTTACACTATACAGAAAACTTAGAAAGTTATACTAACTATTAACAGGCGACACCTATTCGGCTGAGGTAGCTGCATCCCTCTACGTTGTTATGTAACACCTGCAGTTCATAAATCCCCATCAGATAATCTGGCAGTCAAAAGTTGGGTTTCAACCTTGGCTTACACCTCAAACTAGTGACACAGTTGAGCGCTTTGTCCAGTGTCAGATGGAGGTTATACTCATCCCGATTACATTTACTTCCGATCACATTGAGGCTCTATACGAGCTGGACAAAGTGTTAATCGCCGGTCAGGATATGATCCAGAAGAGCGAAAGTATGAATGGTAATCAGATCTTTATCAGTCCCTTGGCGGATATTGTCAAAGAGCATCTGGATGGGGAAAGAAAGGCTTCTAGGCAGCTTGAGCAAACGTGTCTTGGTTGCAGCCGTACGCCTTGCTTACATAGCAGGTGTTTATTTAAATATGTGATATCTCGGATATGAAAAATGACCTAATTGAGGTGATTTTAATTCTCACTTGCTGGATTTGAAAGGCACTGACAACAACATATATTCCGTCATAGTAGTCTTGCTGAGAGAGCTACTCCTCTAACACGAGAAAGTACTGAGGATAATCGTGGCAGATATGCTAAGAGTCACCTTGATAGTACTATTAACTGAGAAGCTCTCACTAGTGAGGGTACACCGTGCAGACATGGTCAGGGTACTCGTGTTCCAGTCCTAAGGCATCAAAATGGGTCAGCCAATGCCAAGGCCAAATTAAGCATAGTAACGGAACGCCGCTCCTCTAAACCGCTTTAGTTTTTATCACGTGGACATTATTAGTCATCCGAAGCTGTTAGTCCCGCCTCCGAACGTCTTGTCGCGCTGAAGGTATTTTCATCATAGGCATCAACGCATTGCGCCCTACAGTTTCCCCTAGATTGCCGTGATAACGGTGTCTGATCCGGATGTAGCTATTGCTACCCCATCCTGGGATTATCTGTCATCTGTCTGATCTCTGAGCGACCGCTTACCGTCACCATGTCTGATTGTATGTTTCGCCCCATGGCTCAGTTTCTCCCGTTGCTAACCATTCTCACAGCTGATTTCGATGCCGTCCGGAAGCTCCAAGCTGAGCGGAACGCCGCTGCAGCTGGAAAACAAGGTTCTAGGACCTTTGATACGTCAAGCCAGCGCACTGACAACTCGACCAAGGCCTCCCTGACTGATACCTTCGATACGAGCCTCTACGATCGCGAAGGCGCCGATAGGTTTGCGGGCTACGATACTTCGATTGCCGTCAATGGCGATGACGAGGAGATGGATGATGCGGATGGTGGCCACCGTCTGGTGGGACAGTACACTGCAACCAAGAGTCAGATGGACGAATTCGCACACGGAAGTGGAGTGGAAGAGGAGGACATTCTCCTTGGCCGCGAGAGGGCGGCCAGAATCGCAGACCGCGAGACAGACTACCAAAAGCGTCGATTCAACCGCGGCCCGTTGACTCCCACCAGAGCTGATCCTTTTGCCGCGAACACGCATGCGAACGTTGAGGGTGAGGGCCAGACTTATCGTGAAGTCATGGCTCTGCGTGAGCTTGAAAAAGAAGAAGAGCGTGTGCAGAAGCTGATTACTGAAAAGCAGGCTGGTGGCGAGAACGATACTGCAGAACATGAGGCCATGTTGGAATTTGAGGACAAAGAAAATGCCGACGCCGGCTCGACCGTCACTGTTGCTACAGGGCGCAAGCGTAAGCAGCGATGGGATGTCGGTTCCGAATCGACTGAAGCAGTTCCCGAGGCTCCCCAGCCTCAAGATACAAAGACAAAAAAGTCACGCTGGGACCAAACGCCCGCTCCATCTGCTCCAGGTGAGGAAGCACCTAAACGTCGATCGCGATGGGACCAGGCGCCAGCTCTTGGGGCAGCCACCCCTGTTGGCAACCAGGGGTTAGCAACTCCCATGCACCCTTCTCAATCCGGTGGGGCTATGATGCCAACTAGCTTTGGAACTGATATATCCGCCCGGAATGCTGCCTGGTCGGATGAGGAACTCGACCTCATGCTCCCGGGCGAAGCTGATGGCTACAAGGTCCTTGATCCTCCTCCAGGCTACGCACCAATCCGAAACCCGGCAAGGAAGCTTATGTCAACCCCAGCTCCTATGGCCAGCTCCACTGGCGTCGGGGGCTTCATGATGCAGGAACCCGAAAGCGCCCGTTCCTTGGGCAAGCAGCTTCCTACGGAGATTCCGGGCGTTGGTGATCTCCAATTTTTCAAGCCTGAGGATATGGCATACTTCGGTAAGCTTATGGAAGGAGGGGATGAAAGCGTGATGTCTGTGGATGAAATGAAAGAGCGGAAGATCATGAGGCTGCTGTTGAAGGTCAAGAATGGTACACCACCAATGAGAAAGACTGCCCTACGTCAACTTACCGATAACGCACGGCAATTCGGGGCCGGTCCCTTGTTCAACCAGATCCTTCCGTTGCTCATGGAGAAGTCACTTGAGGATCAGGAGCGCCACTTGTTGGTGAAGGTTATCGATCGTGTTCTTTATAAGCTTGATGATCTTGTCCGTCCTTACGTACATAAGATTCTCGTCGTCATTGAGCCGCTGCTCATTGACCAAGATTACTATGCTCGTGTTGAGGGTAGAGAAATTATCTCCAATCTGGCCAAGGCAGCTGGTCTTGCTACGATGATCAGTACGATGCGTCCCGATATTGATCATGTGGATGAGTATGTCAGAAACACAACTGCCCGAGCATTCGCTGTGGTCGCTTCAGCACTTGGTATACCCGCCCTCCTTCCCTTCCTCCGTGCTGTGTGTCGCAGTAAGAAGTCTTGGCAAGCAAGACACACTGGTGTCAAGATCGTTCAGCAGATTCCCATCCTCATGGGCTGTGCTATCCTTCCCCATTTGAAGGGCCTTGTGGATTGTATTGCCGACAATCTTAGCGATGAGCAAGCGAAGGTTAGAACTGTCACCGCTCTAGCAGTGGCAGCTCTGGCTGAAGCCGCCAACCCTTACGGTATCGAGAGCTTCGATGAGATTCTCAACCCTCTGTGGACTGGAGCCAGGAAGCAGCGCGGTAAGGGTCTGGCTGCGTTCCTTAAGGCTGTTGGATACATTATCCCTCTTATGGACGAGGAGTATGCCAACTACTATACCAGTCAGATCATGGA